GGGTCAGGGGAGGGGTCTCTGGGTGATTTGGGGGTCTCCAGGTGACATTTGGGGTTTTTTGGGGGGTCCCAAGACGAGGGCGGGCGGTTCTGGGTCAGGGGAGGGGTCTCTGGGTGATTTGGGGGTCTCCAGGTGACATTTGGGGTTTTTTGGGGGGTCCCAGGACGAGGACGGGCGGTTCTGGGTCAGCGGCCGCTCCGAGGACGAGGCTCGGGCCAAAGCGGCCGCAGCCTTTGGGGTCCCCCCAGAACTGGTCAGCCTGAGGCAAGGTGGGACTGGGGGCACTGGGGGGGGGAATGTGTGGGACTCTGGGGGTCCCTGAGGGTTCCTGGGGGTCCCTGGGGGTCCCTGGGGGTCACTGGTGGTCACTGGTGGTCACTGGTGGTCTCTGGGGGTCCCTGGGGGTCACTGGTGGTCTCTGGTGGTCCCTGGGGGTCACTGCTGTCCCTGGGGGTCCCTGGTGGTCCCTGGTGGTCCCTGGGGGTCCCTGGGGGTCACTGCTGTCCCTGGGGGTCCCTGGTGGTTCCTGGGGGTCCCTGGGGGTCCCTGGGGGTCACTGCTGTCCCTGGGCACAGACGAGGACGTCCTGGACACCTGGTTCTCCTCCGGCCTCTTCCCCTTTTCCATCTTCGGGTGGCCTGAGCAGGTGAGGGGGCGTTTGGGGGGTGTTTGGGGGGCCCCGGGGGGGTTTTGGGGGTCCTGGTCTCATCCCGGGGTCCCCCTGTGCCCCCAGACCCCCGACCTGGAGCGGTTCTACCCGGGGTCGCTGCTGGAGACCGGCCACGACATCCTGTTCTTCTGGGTGGCACGGATGGTGATGCTGGGGCTGGCACTGACCGGGCGCCTGCCCTTCCGCGAGGTCAGACCCAAAATCACCCTGAATCCACCCAAAATCACTCCAAATCCACCCAAAATCACCCAAAATCACCCTGAATCCACCCAAAATCACCCTGAATCCACCCAAAATCACCCAAAATCACCCTGAATCCACCCAAAATCACCCTGAATCCACCCAAAATCACCCCAAATCCACCCAAAATCACCCAAAATCCACCCAAAATCACCCTGAATCCACCCAAAATCACCCTGAATCCACCCAAAATCACCCCAAATCCACCCAAAATCACCCTGAATCCACCCAAAATCACCCAAAATCACCCTGAATCCACCCAAAATCACCCTGAATCCACCCAAAATCACCCCAAATCCACCCAAAATCACCC